GCCGCGTCAATAGTAATCACCGAACTACGTTTTGAAAGATGTACGAAATGTGCAACAGATATATAATAGCACACCTCCCACACAACATAAAAATATTTCCTAACCATATGGTAAAACAATTTTCAGTAAAATAATACAGTTGTCAAAATATTCACTAAAAGTTGCGTAAACAGTTACGAAATATCTTAGTTATATTATTTTGTCAAGAAGTTCATTTTTTGAAAATTGTCCGTCATTTCATAAATTTATTGCTGAATGTGATAAAAGTACAAATTGTGATGATACCACTGACATAAACAAATTAGATAAGTTTAGTCAAGATACATTTTAGTCAAGAAACATCTAAATTTTGTGCTAACAACTCTGAAGAAACTGATGATTCAATGTGTTTGGACCCGGATGAGTAGGTATGACATATTATTATTCACCACTCCACCACCTACCAGCACACACACGCACTCAACATATTATTTGTTTTTGTTTGTATTATAGTATTGTTTTTATTTTTGTATAATATTCCGTGTCAGCTGTGAGTTACATAATATATGTAGATTACGCACGGTCGCATACGCGCTATCACCACCACATGCTCGCTGGAACGGGATTAATTACTGCTAGCCGGCAGTCCGTTACGTAGTGTCACGGTCTTATATACAGGTCGGGCAGCTTGGCCATGAGCTGCGTTCTTTTAATGATTATGTAGAATTGTCAAAAAGACTTGTAGTGCTATCTAGTGGAGTTTTTTGAAACCGTGAACTGTCAATATAACCTTACGGATCGCAGCACAGTGCTTAATATCAAATCATACTCAATAGCACGGTCTTAAAATAATAAAATATATAATATGAATGTATAATAAATAATAATATGGTCATTTTGATGATTAATAATAATTATTATTTATTATTTTTTTATTATAACACCATTGACCATTGTAGTTGTTAGTGGTGATATTACAATACATTACTAATTGACAATTGTATCGTCTGTTTTGTTTTTAATTTTTACACTCACCTTATCCAATACAAACTATTAAATATTAATCATCATGCCAACAAAACAATGTATTATTAAAACCTGTTTAAAATCTAGTTTGTTATTTACTATTCCGACGAAAGATGAGGATTTCTTTAAATGGCAACAAGCTTGTAAAAAGTATGCAGATATAAAACGTGGTATGTATTTATGCAGCTTTCATTTTGTTGAAGAAGATATTGTTCGAAAACGGTTACTAGTATCTGAAGGAACTGTTATTGGTGTGGTAAGTTCACCTTTACCATTTCAACATTCAAAATTATTTAGTATTACTAACAACATTATCAAGAAAACTCACTAAAATTAAATGTTTAACTGACTTTTTTGTTGTGTTTAGAGTGAATATAAAAAGCCTCGACTCAAATCTGGAAGTATACCATCAGTATTTGAAGATAATATAGGAGCACAAAATAAATTGGAGAACTGTTTAAACCCACCGACTAATTTTAATCATGTAACTAAATTCTAATTATTTTTATTATTATCATATCTGCAAAGGTTGGCAAGTTAATGAAGATAATTAACTCAAGTTAAGTTAAGTTAAGGGAACACAAAATCGATAAGTTAAAAGTTAATATGGATAAAATTATTAACTTAACTCAGTTAAAAAAATGCAAAGCTTCATTTTTTAATTAGTATGTTGATCACATAAAGAGTGACTGTGTTATTTCTAATTTCCAAAATTTTAATAAACAATTTTATTGAACTTTTGTCGTAATATACAGTTTATGTACCTATTTTATTGCACACAATAATTAACACATCCTAATTAAATATTAATAATTTAACAAATCTAAAATTTGTTTATATCAAATAGCAATTTATGGTCATAATATTATGCCTATCAAATGTAATTGAAAATATCCATTTTCAAAATTATTTCATAAAAAAATAACAACAATTTTTGTATAATATAATATTATTGGATTATTTTTATTTTAGTATAACACCTTAAATACAAAAAATTAAAACATTTTTAACTTTATGGATTATTTTTAAATAAATTCAGCAATGTTAAGTTATTTTAACTTTCAATTAAACTAGTTAAGTTCATAAGTTGATAAGAAAATTGGCTAAGTAGTGAAGTTAAAAAGTTAAAAAAAAATTAACTAACTTTTTAACTAGTTAATGTTTTCATTATTTTGCCTTTAGGCATACTATTATTATGTTTATAATAATTATTCTATAGGTATCTAAAATGAAATATCAAAAAAATCAACTTTGTATGAACAAACCATTAAAAGTCTATTCAGGGAAAAGAAAACAAGTAGAAGTGTTTGATTCTCAAAAAGTGACTAATCAAGTAAAAACTGAGTGAAAATCAAGTATTCTAGAAAATAATTATTGTTTTTATTTATTGTATATAATTTCAGGCTAACAGGGAAAATTACACAAGATAATTTAGAAGTATAAAATATATTATCGAGTACAAATTATGTGTTATATTACAAGTATAATTTTTTTTTATAGACATTTTTTGGGACTATTCGACTTGCTTCAGGTGCCTATGATCACCCAGGGACTCCGACATTTTTGCAACTGTATAAACTTTTATCTGTGTACAATTTGTTAAAACCCCCAAAATTTGGAAATTGTACTATTGATCAGCAAAATGAAGTTTCGCCTTTAATTACCATCAGTGACATAAAACATATTTTTGGGAGTAAAAATGATTTCTCAGCACTTGATGATTTAAAAAAAAAATCAATGGTCTTGTTGACGATGGAAACTGGGAGTTTTCTGATATTTTTGAGCATGACTATAATCTCTCGCCAGTCAAAGAATGCTTGATTTACTATTTGGTTGGATATCTAAGCAAACAAATATTAAAAACCACAAAATGTACAATTTGTATTGAGGCATTTAAAAACCCACATTTTTTTTCAAATTTCTCTGAAGCTGAATTAGTAAATTTAAAATCTAAAGGTAGATTAGTGCACCCAAACTATAACTTTTATAAATTCATCACAAATATTGAAACATACTTTTCCAACAATATAAATGACTCTGATGTGTATAGCAATACGGTTGAAGATATTTTAGCCAATGAAAATTTGAATTTTCCATGTTCCATACACAAAGATGAAATTATTGCTTATTCAATCCGGTATTACTTAAATATGCGCATGAGGCAATTCTCGTGGCAATTAAATCAAGAAAAATTAAAAGAAAATTCAAAAAGAAAAAAAATTTCCAAATTTTGTAAAACTTGAGTTATTATATTATTATGTATCTTTTATTTATATTTATATGGTATATTAGTTTTAGAATTAATGCCTATAGGTATACGTTTTGTGTATTATTAAAATTAAAATTAAATACTAAAGTAAATTATTCCCGTAGAGCGTGTTTTTGTGTACAAAATTACATTGTCACTGGGCACAGATATATAAATATATATAGTTTTATATGTCTGTGCAACTGGGCTACACAATATCCTAATAATAATTACGTTATGAAATGCTGCACTTTGTACTTATTTGTATAAAACGATATATATTAATTTCAATGATAGAGGGCGCGCACTGTGTTCTTGTCAATTTTATATAACTATTAAGGTTCAAAGTCTTAACACTGTACTATAATGTGAGTTGCCCGACCTGTATATAAGACCGTGCGTAGTGTTAAGATTTTAAGATTTGCAGAATTAAAATTGTACCTATTGCTGTTACGTGCGCAAATCGCCGTTTTCGGTTTTTTATACTGTTTCATTTGTCGGCGCGAATCTCCAGAAATCTTTTATATTGTTTTATTTGAGGGTGCGAATCGCCACAATTTTGTATATTGCTTTTATATTATATTTTATAGTGTGCGCGCTGATCGGCACTATCTAATACCTACGCGAGTCGTCATACAATTGTTGTTATTTTGAAGCTGGGCGAGCAAATCGCCGCGGACATAATATTATTATTTTGTATCAAAGGCCGGAGATTTATTATTGTATTTTTGTAAGCACAATTCGTGCATTTTTATTACATTATTTTTAGTGTGCGCTAATCGCCATCAGTGTGTGTTTTGTACGTGTGTGAATCACCGTATTTTTAATAATTGATTGTTTCGGTGTGTCAACTACCAAATTATTTTATACAGGCACAGGTATAGCGGCTGGCCAGCAAAGTGACTACAAATTATGAGTCTTTATTATTTATTATTATACTATAACATTTGACGTGCCAGAATTGTAAAGGTGCCTACTATATTATTGTGTTGTTTATACATTTTTACTAATTAGTAATTATTATATATTATATATTATTTTTACTCTATTGAGCAAAGAGGACCACATTATTATTATATTTTATATCGTCGTGTTCCTGTTGCATATATATGATATATATATATACAAACTGTCATTTTCAATTTTGCAACCAGTCATACACAGTACTTCCTTGCTATATATTGTTGTTTTTTATTATTAGCTTAATTGCATATACACATCCACGTATATACACATCTACAAACGCCACCTGCACACTAGTACTCACAGACCTTGATCGGCGAACCTGTCCAATTTCTGTTGAGTACTAAAACATATATACACACAAAAAACACAGGTCGGTCGGTGTGACAGATATCCATATATCATAGGCATAGCTGAGTGCGCTAGGTGACCGGGCGCAAGTTCTATTGTGGTAACGTTCCCGGCCCAAACACAATGGATGAAGATTTTAACAAACCAAGTTCAGAAATAATAGTACATTCAAATTTCAAGTCCAGGACCATCTAATCAGAATAGTAATCAATTTGTTAAACCGGAAAATTTAGGTGGGTTGTATTACTGTTATATTTATTTAAAAAAATAATATTTGTTGTTGTTTATTAAGACATTATTGTTTTTATACAGTTTCTTTATCTCAGACATTATCATTGCTGGATACAACAAATAGCAGTGATTATATACATTCTTTGGTTGTCAAAAAATACGTAACTTTAAATGTCCCAATCATTGGAAAGACAAGTTCGAAATGATGAAAACTGACAGTAATATTTTTTTTTTTAGTGTATATTGTTCATTACTCTTTAATTATGTGTGTTTATTGTAATTAGGAAAACAGAAAACAATGCTTATTAAGTCACGTGTAGCTCAAACATATTCCGAAACTAATGTTCCTGAATATAATTGTAGCAATTCAAGAGCTATTAAATTTAAGGTTCATTTTTATTTAGATAAGACTACAATATTAAAAAATATAGAATTGAATTTTGGTAAAAACCAATGTACGTATGTGGTAGTTATAATAAATGGGAACGAAGTAATAACACAATTCCTTCATCTGACCAACGGAATACTAGACCTTTCAGACAGTTAGTAGGTAGGTACTTATTGAAAATTATTATAGTGAATAACTAAAACTTAACATATTTTTGTTCATTAAAGATTAGAAAATTGCAATTATATTAACGTGGTTCCTAACTGGTATAAACATGAATTTGAGGAATTAAATTTGAATACAAATCCAAACACATTGTTCTTGTTTCTTGTATTTTTTTCTTTGATTTATAGTAATATTACAGTAAAATAAATGAAAAATATCTTTTAGTCATTTGTTTAAAACATTTAAACATTAAATTCATTATTATTAAAACAAATGCATATTGTATAAATTAATATTGTCTTAATTCAAAAACATTAATTTAAATATACAAAATAAAATCATAATTTTTTTTAATATAATCAAGAAGTATTGTAATATCTAAGAATTGTTTTTAGCATAAAAAATTAATTTACCCAATTTACCGGGTATTTGCCCATAACTACTGCATATAGCTGCACTTGTAACTTGTCAGCGTAACCTTTTTTTAACTACTTATTTCTGGCTTATACCTTCGCGTAGATATTATCAAAAAAATATTAATCAAACATCCTGATCTGAAAATTGTAATTTGTAGACCAACAAATTCAATTAAAGACACTCGCACAGACACTGCGAGATGCGTCATGCTTGTATTTTATTCTCAGCTCGTGCTGGACTAGATGATAGATAAACATAAGTTTGTGTTGGACAGACGATACATTAAATTTTTTGACACTGCGGGCAAAAATAAAGTTAATACTAATATGTTTTTAGGCACATACTGACATACATTTACTCAAAAAATTTGGAGGGTCTTTAAATAATTCTGGGGGGGGGGCTGAAGCCCCCCCCCCATAGTTACGCCTAGGCTATAATATATTTTTACAAATACTTTAGAAGGGACTCATGTTTGCAGCTGTTGGGTAGAGTATACAGTATTTGAATACAATAGTCAGTAGGTAGTCTACATTTCAATTTTTAAAAAAAAGCTCCTATGTGTTTAACACGAAAACTGGCAGATGATATTAGCTCCAACACTGGTTTGTTTTTGTTTGGTTTATTTTAATAGACCAAACAAAAACACACCATTGGATGCGATAAAATCATCCACCAGTTTTCTTGTTGCCGACTATAATATGAATTTTCCACCGAGTGTTCTGGAGTCAACGCTCACTTTTCATGAGCTTAAATATAACATATTTTTTTTTTAGTATTCCAAATGTATCATTTTTAAGTGTTACATCATTAGAATTAAAAATATATGTTCCTTAAATGGTATGATATTGCTCAATTGTAATGGAGTAAATGTAAGTTTATTTCTTTCACTATATATTTATAAAATTTGTAGTTAAATATCTATTTAACCTCGTTTATTAGAACTAATTAGGAGGACGCCGCACCCGCATATGTTGTCTCCGTCGTCTTACACCACATATATTGCATAGCAAAAACGTTTAGGCCTCGGGAAAGAACCGAGAAGGCTTCAGTTATAACTAAGAAACGAAATTTTCACCACATATAAAGGAGAACTATGGCTGTACAATACCGTTTTAATTTTTTTATATCACTTATATGAAAAAAGTTCTTATTGTTTCAAAATCCATTATTTATGTGTGTTTTTCAAACTTTAATAACTTTTGTTGAAGTTCCGATAACGAAAAAATAAAACGATATTGCACAGTCATAGTTCTCTTATGTTTTGAAAATTTTGTTTCTTAGTTATGACTGTAGCGTTCTCGGCTCTTTCCCGCGCAAAAGAGTTCTTGCTATATTGTACAGTTGTAAGACGGAGAGACACATACGGGTGCAACGTCCTCTTATAGTATTTTAATATCTTTGATTTTAAAACTTTTATAATAAATAACTCTATTAAGATTTATTAAAAAAGTGTTTTAGGATGTATTTTAGTGCATATTTTGAAGTTGCATAAAAGATAATGATGTTGAATAATATTTAAAAACCATTAAATTAAAATGATATAGAATATTATCAAAATTAAATTTGTTTCCAAAACGTATGCTCTATCTTTTAGTACATATCATGTATTTTAATTTCAATTTATGTACCTATTCAATAACTAGTACAAAATGAGTATGATATTAACGATTATTCAGAAACTACTATTAAACCTATGTGGATTACATTACCATCTACTGCTAATAAGATAAACATTCAAGAAATTTGCGAAAAAAGAGAACATGTATCAAGTAAATGCAAATTAAGTTCCTCCAATGTCAAATTCTTGTGAATATTAATGATAATGTATTTGATTTTTGCTCAATTGTACTTTTAAAATAACAGCACATATAAAACCTGTTTTGATTTTGCCATAACCTCTTATCATTATTAATGTTATTAAATCATGCAAAATTGTTAAAATAAATAATCTGAAGGAATTTAATTTTATCAATAGATTTACTTATTATTTAATTATATAAAACACATTCAGTTTTAAATCTTTGCTATATTTTTTTTTTTTGTTTTTAACTTAATTATATTTATATGTAATTGTTACAAATCAATTTTCAGTAATTGAATTTTTTTTTTTTTTAAATAATTTAACATGTTTTGTAGACAACAATTTTGATATTAAAATTTCTTTATTATTTTATTATATTGTGTTTTTGTTTCATATTTCATATAAACAATAAATAATAAAATACAAATCATATATTCAACTTGCATTGTAATCCAATAGTTAATTATCATATATAATGTATTTTATATTAAACCTTTGATATATTCATATTTTTTAGTTGACATTGGTTGTTGACATTTTGGTTCGGGGCTTAAGATACTCGTCCAGATTTTCCTGCAGTATGGTTGTTTTTCTAATGTTTTTGATTAAATTATTTTGCAGAATTTGGGTTCAGAAAGATCTTCCTTTAACATTTAAAAGCTATTCGTATTTTTTGCAATAACCTTATATCATGGTATTTTCAGATTACTTTGTTTTTTTTTTTTAAATCTGTAGGGGAAATTCTAGGGAATTTAGTGTTAAACATTGGTTTTTTCTGTGTTGAACGTAAAAAATAAGATACCTAATAAACAGTACACTACCAAAAAGTCCGAAACATAAAAAGTCGGTTACATATAATTAGGTAAAAGGAAAAATATCATGTGATGCACAATCAAACTTCCAATATTAGTACCTATTATATTATATTAATATACATTTTGTTGTAACTAAATTATATACCTACCTAACAAAATTAATTTTTTTTAATTTTATTTTTTTGACGACAGTTAGTTAATTAAACTGATAAGTCATAATACTAGAAAATATTATAATTATTGAATTTTTTTGTTAAATATATTATATTTTGTATGGCGATAGTTCATACTCATTTATTATATTATCTCAATTTTTTTGTATAGGTAATGATACTGAGTACATAATTATTATGATCATTGATTTTTTTTTTAAATATATTATATTTTATATGAAGAAAGTTAATACTCAATTTAATTAAGAAATCATTATATTATATTATGTACATTTTATTTGTATGTAATAATTATTTAGATTTTTTATATAGGTTATCATACTAAGTACCTAATTATAATCATTGAATTTTTTTTTTAATAAATTATTTTAAATATTGTTATGCATATAACATAATAAACCGTAATTTTTTACACCGGACTTTTTAGGCTTAGGACTTATCTACAGTGGACTTTTTTACCGCTATTCCTAATAAACACAATAATTAGAAATCACAGCTTCCTTAAATGAGGATAAAAAAAACCAATTTGTAGGCAGAAATCATGTTGCAACTCTTTTTACCAAACACCTTTATGTTTTGTACTTCCTCTGATTGTTACCATTAATAATCAAATAAATACCTTTTATGTGAATTACTAAAAATTAGTTAGAAGTTGTTGTTCTTACATTTTTTTCTATTGAAATATGAATATATAATGTATATTTTACTTTATATATAAT